GGGAAAAATTCTAAGGGTAAAGAAACAAATCTATTCACAGGCGATTTCTCCTCAGCATGTCTCTTTGTTCTCTCTCTTTTCTCCTGCCTCTGTTCTAATTCTTCTGTCCTAACTGTCTAATTTATTAGCTCTAATTCTCGGCCTCAGTTCTAATTCAGATTCTCTGTCCCCACCACCTTCTTCTTCCTCTTCCTCTTCTTCTTTTTCCTATTTCTGCTCATTTCTGCCAGCTTCTCCTTCTCTCTTTGTTCTACTCAGCTATATAGACCCACAGAATCTCACAGGCATTCACCTAAAGGTCACATACCATGTCTTCAGTAAATAATAAGAAATGGCATCTTTCCAGCAACTCACAGTGCAGTAAACCCAGATAGGGAGGAAAGAGCACTTTCTTCCACTTGGCTCCGAACTCGTGGGCTGCAAACCGCAGCCATGAAAGGAAAAGCCTTCCTTGTCACCTCATCGATAGAGGCAGCCTTATGGAACTAAGCTAATAAGAGAAATAAGGAGATCATGTGTTATAGCCTATACTTTTGAGGGCATAAAACGTCTTTAACGTTTTGTGGATAGTGGATATAAAGGCCAGATTTTCTCAACTGGAGACTGTTGTTTTACAAACATGTCCCCAGAGAGAGTGCAGCAGCAGCTGGAGCTGCCGGGGCGAGGGGCAGAGGAGCCCATACAGCACTTGGCAAGGCACAGTGACATTAAAAGCATCTCAAATCTTAAGATAACTTTTCCTGTCCAGTGTGTAACCCTCCCACAGAAAGAGAAGCTTGTAATGCCCTTTTGGGGGCTATAACGTTAGTTTATATTTTGTAGGTTATCCTAGCCAGACGGGGAACTTATCCCATGGTGTCTGAACAAAGGCCATAACTCTGAGGTTAGGAATCTGTGCAGAGTTAATTATTGTCTCTGCTACTGCAGCTAGGTTACTTTGCACTGTTTACCTTGGCTCAACAAATCCTACAGCTGGCTACATGTCCTAGTAAATAAGGTTGATTTCTTTTGGTGATAGTTTATCTTCAAATCCAATTAGCAAGGCACCTGGCTGTGGGAAACAGGTTTTTTGACTGTGTGACTGTTCTTACACATACCTAGGAGATGCTATCAATATATCCCAAAGGCATAGGGGAAATTGTGTCCAATGAATGAGCAAATAATGCTGAACTGTGGGAAGCATACCCCAAATTTCTGACAGATGGGAGTAAGCTACGGGAGAAATCTGCAGCCAGAAACAGCCAGTTCATTCATAAGGCAATAACTCCAATACACCTTACGTCTTGTTTTAATCCTCCAAGAGAATCCTTGATTCTGATGGGTTGACCTCATGACATGACGGCTGAATACGGACTGCATAATCTCAAAACCAAAGTAACTTGAGAAGGAAAGAGTTTACTTCACTCACAGTTCCATATAACAGTTTAATTATCAAAAGTAATGAAGGCAGGCACTCAATCAGGGTAGGAACCTGGGGGCAGGAGTTGAAGCAGAGGCCATGGAGGGTGCTGCTTGCTGGCTTGCTTGCTCAACCTGTTTATTCACTTATTTATTTGTTTATGTTTTATAAAACCAAGGACCATCAGTCTAGGGATGGCACCACCCACAATGGGCCCTCCCTCACCAATCACTAATTAAGAAAATGCCTTGCAAGCTTGCCTACGGCCTGATCTTGGGAAGGCACTTTCTTAACTGAGGTTCCCTCTTAACTGATGATGCTAGCTTGTATCAAGCTGACTTAAAACTAGCCAGTACAGTTATAACTTTGTGGTATACTTTGAAGTAGTCCAATATGGTGATGTTTACAGTTGTTTTCTTTTCACTGATGATTATGTCGCTGTCTGGTTTTATTCAATTATTTACTTTGATAGTTCCCTATGAATTTTACCATGATGTTCTGTGGAAATACGACTGATTTCACATGGACTTCATTGAAGCTGAAGATTGCTGTGGACAGTATGGACATTTAATAGTTTTCTCTCCTGCCTACAGACAGGGTCTGGCTTTCAGCCCTCCTGGATCTTCTTCCCTTTCTTTCCTAAGCATTTTATCCGTAACAGTGTAACAGTGTAGCCATTTTATCCTTTACAGTGTAACAGTGTAGCCATTTTTCATCTCTTTAACTTTTTTTTTTGAATTTTATTTTTGGTAACTTATAAATGCATTTGCTTTCTTGATTTCTTTTTCAGGTAATTTGTTATTGGCGTGTAGAAAAGATACTGATTTTATTACATTGATTTTACATCCTGCCGCTTTGCTGATTTTGTTATCGATATTAATTATTCTTAATTTGTTATTCTAATAGGTGTGTGCGTGCGCGCATGCACACAGACATGGCAATTTGATTTCTTCTTTTCTAACTCCAGTGTGTTGTATTTCTTTGTCTTGCTGGTTGCCCTGACTGAGACTTCTACCTCTCTGTTGGACAACAGTGATTAAAGTGCACATCTTCACCTCACCCCAGACCTTAGTAGGGATGTGTCCATCTCTGACACTCCACATGACGCTGTCCACAAGCTCTTACTATGCTTCTCTTGGAAGCTCTTTCTCCCGAGGTGAAACTCTTAGTACCACATACTCGTGAACGAATGTTTCTTCGTATTTCCTTTGAGAAAATAGCAACATCACAGTCTGTCTCTATCATCGAACATTTTATTTCATTAATTAATAAATTAATTTTTTATGGTGTTGGAGGTTGAGCCTAGGCCTTACTCACACATGCTAGGCAGGTGTTCTGTCTGTGAGCTACAACCCCCAGCCCCTTTCCAACTGTTCTTTTGAGGGAGGTTTTCACTGTGACACAGTCTGGCCAGGGATGCATGTGTTGCTGGGCAAGCCTTGTGCTTCTCCTGCCTCAGCCTCTGAACTAGCTGGGATTCCCATCGTAACCGGAGTGACTGTTCTGTACCTGTGCTGCATTATTACCTGTAACATCCTCACAGCTCCTCTGTGTTAGACCTGGTATTAACATCACCACGATGGTGGTCACTATAGTCCCCCAGTCTCAGGGCATCTGTGAAGTTGGCATTCACAGTGGCCCTGGGTAGTGGACTGTGTTCATCTAACTTTTGGATACTGGGCATGCTTTTCACAGAACTCTGCAATGCATTGTGGGATCTGTGGTGACTTTGATAATGGCGGTCATCACATAAGTGTGTGACATTTGGCCCATTCGTTACAGAAACATCGGATTCTGTAGTTATATAATTCTGTAGAATTTTGAAAAATGTACATCTAAATAAAATGATGATGCTATAGATTTTAGGAAAGGCAAATGTGGTGCCAATCTAGGAATTCAGGATGCTTTACTCATGGGTGAGAGTTATGATTGTGTGTGAAAGTAGGTGTGCAGATGTGTGTATACATATGTGTATACTTACTCTTGTGTATCTGCATGTGTCTGCAGGTGCATGTGCACATACATACATATGTGTGCATAGAAAAGTCGTTGATTTGGGGTGTCTTCCTCAGTTACTTTCTACCCCAGTTTTGAGAGAGGTTCTCTCATTGAACCTGGAACTCACAAATTCAACTCTGTTGGCTGTTCAGCAAGCCTCAAGGATCCTGTATCTCTGCATTCTCAGAACTGGGATTAAATGTACGTTCTGCCATGCTTGGCTTATCGTGCATGGATCTGGGGAACCAAACTCAGATCCTTGTACTTAGAAGGCTTTCACTCTAATGACTGAGCCATCACCCAGCCCTGATTGAGCCATCTCCCAGCCCAGAGAGCTGTGGTTGTGGTGGAGACCAAATGATCCATCAGCAGTGGTGGCCTAGCAGAATAGAGTTCTATCATTGCCCTTAGAACTCACACGGTTCAGATGGGGGCAGGTGGTCCTTCGGTGTATAAGAAAGCAGGCCAAACAAGCCATGAGGAACAAAGCCGTAAACAGCACTCTCCCTGTGACCTCTGCATAAGCTCTTGACTCCAGGCTCTTGTCCTGTTTGGGTTCCTGCCTTGACGCCCTCAGTGATGGACTGTGCTATAGAACTGTCAGCTGAAAGAAATCCTTTCCTCCACAAGCTACTTGGTCAGGGTGTTTTTATCACAGTAATAGAAACCTAACTAAGACAGAGGTTTAGCAGTGGTGAAAGTGTTGGCTGTATAGTGGCCATATTCTTCCTCCTCTTCCTCCTCTTCTCCTTCTCCTCCTCCTCCTCCTCCTCCTCCTCCTCCTCCTCCTCCTCCTTCTAAATTTAAGAACCTAGCTGGGCAAGTGGTGGTGTATGCCTTTGAGGCCAGCACTCAGAAGGCAGAGGCCAGCCTGGTCTATAGAGTTCCAGGACAGTCAAGGCTACACAGAGAGACCATGTATCAAAAAACCAAAAATAGTATTATTTAAGAACCTTTAGGAGTCTTTTACAGACCCAGGAATATGATGTTTGGGCGGAGGGGGAGCGTTCTTATTGAAAACATGCTTTAATAACATTAACATGAACATTTAAGATTTTCACATCTTACAGTGTATAAGGTATACGTCAATAAGAACTTTGAAGAAGATACATCTAAAGAAAATGGCAATGTTCACAGGTTTTATAAAAGTCAAGGATTCTGTCAATCTAGGCACTTGGGATATTTTCTATTAGATAAAAGTCTGGTTTAGGGTTTAAAAAACACATCACACCTAGAATTTAAATCATTTTTATTAAAATTATTTATTCTCTGTCTGAGAGAGAGAGAGAGAGCGAGAGCGAGAGAGAGAGAGAGAGAGAGAGAGCGAGAGAGAGCAAGAGCTTAGCGTTGTGAAAGTCAGAGGACAGTTTGCAGGAGTCTGTCACTGCTTCTGTCCTGTGGCTACCGGGGATTAAACTCAGGGCACAAGGCTTGGTGGCAGACATTTCTAACCACTAAGCCATCTCACCAGCCCCCTTCCCTTCAACTTAAAGGCACAATGTGATGTAAGAAGGTATATTGCTTCCCCAACCCCCTGACATCATTAATGCTTTTCTATTGCTCTCAGCTCCCAGGACTCATGAACTATTTTCTCCCTTTGCAGTACTTGGGATGCATAGAAGTTCTGCGCTCAATGAGGTCTCTGGACTTCAGTACAAGAACTCAGATTACCAGGTAAGCTCTCTTGAAAGTAGACTCCTGGGGTTGTATCTCTGAAAGGAAAGGATCACAGAAGTTTACATCCTAGGAGTTTCTAGAAGAAAGCCTGGTCCTTCTGACACTGGAGGCTGGTAATGGATTCAGGACTCACAGTGTGTTAAAATATAGTTGTACCTGTCTATGTGTGGAGAGATATGTCTCCTATCAGGAGCACCATAATGAACCCTTGATCCTTCTGGGGTCTTTTTATAACTAAGCTGCAAACATAATCATAATTAAGGGATAACTTGTATTTTCATATTTGTTTCCTCAATGTCAGAGCCACTAATTCAAGATCAGTACTAAAATTACCAAATTATATTCTTTCTGAAAAACAAATATCGAGACATCTAGAGTGAGTTTCCAATAGTGCATAGAGAGAACAAATTTCATAGGATTAGATGCAGAAATATTCATGGGGAAAATCATTTAGGAAGGAGGTTGATTTTTTAAAAATATTTTATTTTCAATTAAATATTTAATTAAATTTATTTTAGGTAGTACACAGAATATTGGGTTTCGTTATGACATCTTATTTGATTTTATTAATATTTTAGTATAGAGTACTGGACTTCACTATACTTTCACACACGTGTGCTAGTTTACTGTGTTCACATTCACCTCCTGCCATTCTTTTCTCTCTCTTTACTTTCCCCTTGTCCTCTTCTCTCGCCAAATAGTCTTTCTACTTTCATGTTGCATATATTTAGATTCTCATTCTACATGAGAGAAAGCATACAATTTTTGTTTTCTCCCCAGTTGCCCTTTCTTGTTCCACTTGCCCCTTTCCCTGGCATAATACCCCTTTCCATTTTCATCATACATACTCTCACACACAGAGACACACAGAGACACACAGACACACACACACACACACACACACACACACTTCTGTTAGTCTGGCTTATTTCACTTAACACAGTGGTCTCTGGTTCCATATTTTTTCCCTAAAATCACATAATTTAAAATATTTTATATGTGTTTCCAAAATTCTAAGTGTCTCAGGGGCCGGGACTGAAAGACTTTTCCATGAAACAGTGTAGCAAAATATAGTTCCTGGAAGAGTCGAGCTGTCAGAAAAATGCTCATTTCCAGTCGTGCTGCAGAGGAGGACGACAGAGGCTGGAGGACGACAGAGGCTGTGACACAGTAGAGTTTCTGTAGCTGAGGCGGGGTGGGGAGGGGATCTGTTGCACTGATAGTTGTGAAACTGCTCAAACATCCTCCTCAGAAAATGATGCCTGGTTGCTTCATCCAGATTACTGTGTTAGGCTTCTCGGAGTCAGGAAACCAAGTCTGAAGGCTTAAGTCCTCAAGTGGAGGCGTTAGCTATCATGTCTGCATCGCTGTCCTAAGTTCTGTAGTGATGTCTTTTCCTCCTCCCCGAAGCCATCTGTGGTCAAGAGTTGACATTTCTCTTCTCCCTAAAGCAACTTGAGACACAGGGTGGGAACACAGCAGTACTGGTGTTCTAAACCAAAGAAGGAGGGAATTGTGTTCGAAAGGGAGCGCTTCTGGAAGGGAAGTCTGTTTCCTTGGCCACTCTCACTGCTGACAATTGCAAGGGCAATAGAAGGGTGAAGAGGCTTTTATCAGGGTGAGAGAGAAGGTGAGAGAGGCAGAGTGAGCTTCGCTTACAGGCTACGGTTCTTACGAGGGCTTCTGAGGGACTTGGTCATGGGGCTGGGGACTTTTCAGAAGTGTGGGTTAGGGTGGATAGCATCAGTGGTTAAGCCAGGAGGGGCAGGAACAGTATTTGTGGTGACTTTGGGGAAACAATCAGAGGAAGGAGAAACCCATTCATGCTGGAGTGGGGGCTGCCTTCAAGACAAAAGACAAGGCATCTTAGGCAGTGTTCTATTGCTGTGAAGAGACACCATGGCTGTGCTAAGACTTATAAAGGAAAATACTTAATTGGGGCTGCCTTACAATTTCAGAGGTTTAGTCCATTGTTGTCATGGCAGGAAGCATAGCTGCATGCAGGCAGGCATGTGCTGGAGGAGGAGCTGAGAGTTCTACATCTTGATCCACAGGCAGCAGAAAGAGAGAGACTGGGCCTGGCTTGAGCATTTGAAATCCTAAAGCTCACCTGAGTGACACACTTCCTCCAACGAGGTCACACCTGCTCCAACAAGGCCACATCTCCTAATCCCTCTCAAGTAGTACCACTCTCTAATGACCAAGCATTCAAGTATATGAACCTATGGGGGGCCATTTCTATGCAAACCACAATGGCCATGTACACTTTCTCTCACCGACAAGGTATACACTGTCGCATCCAGTGCAGAGTGATTGCCACTGCCGATGGATATGGGAACTGTGTTCGAAGCTCACATTCTCCTGTGTGGTGATTGTTTTTAAAGGGATAAAGTCGACTACAATCATTTCCACTGTGTTCCCTCTTTGGACTGCTGAGGCCTTTTTGTGCCAGGATGTATTTGTTAAGTTCTGCCATCTGCTGTGCTACTGGGTAATGTGGGCTCTCTGCTCTGCCCAGCTGCCCAGTGTTGAGCAAGATGACATAAAATGGCTGAGGGTCATTTAAGGGATGCTGACTGAGCCCTGCTTCTCTGAGATGGCAGTAAGGGGAGCTGGGAGGGCATAAGTAAATGATTACTATTTTCTCTTGAGTGAGGACTTTCTTTAGGGACCTGTGGGTGGAATCTAAGAGGACAGAAGCACTCACACCACAAAAGAAATCAGGGGAGCCAGCACTGGTAGGGGTGGAGGTTGAATGACTTTCTCCAGCCCCATCTCACTGTATAAAAATGCTCCAGTGCAGTAGGGCAAGAGGACCGTCAATCCTGGACTCAGAAAAGGTGGGGCTACATTCTGGTTGCAGCAGCATTGCCTTAGGTTTCAACGTAACTTGAAAGTTACATTGTTGCTCTCTGTGATGCTCTCTATCCCTGCGTCCTCTCTACTATCTGGCATGTTTCTTACTGAAGTTAGTTCCTGGAGTGCATTCACACGAAACAACTTGATACATCAACACTAAAAAGAAGCTGTGTGCATCTAGAGGAATGCTCTGCCCTGCCTTGTAGATTCAGCGTGGTGTGGGGCTTTAAAGGCCTCAGTATTTCCGTCGTGATATTTATTTAATTAAGTCCTTTCTTGTAAGCAATAACCTCTAAGCATTTGTTTTTACTTCATTTTAAAACATAACTTAAAATTCTTACCCATACATTATCTCGAGGCACTGACAATGGCATCACAGGTCTTTTCAAGACAGGGTTAGTTTCGTCCTGTTCCATGGCAACTGAGCTTGTTTATTGTTTTCTTTTCAGCAGTAGTAGGCATGGATTTCCAACCAAAAGATGACTTTTAACTGTTTTCCAATTAAAACAGAACTTTTAAAATGTACATTTAATTGCTTCTAGACTTAGTGGCTCAGTGGCTGTCAAAAATCCTATATTCCTGACATCTTGGTTTAGGGGGCTTGGTGATAGTTCAATCTAATATCTGCCCACTGTGCTGAGAAGATGGCCTGGTTGCAGGGCCTGTCTCTGCCAAGCCAATTCTTACACGAATATTGAGCTTGTTTTGGATTTGGACACCAAGTAAGAAAGGGACCAGAATAATGTCTGTAGATTATACAGGACAAAGCCTGGTCATAGGGGCTCCTGTTGGAGTTTATTTAGTCTGATTGCTAGGATTTTTTTTTCACTTTGAGATACCATCTTACACCTGTCAGAATAGCTAAAGTCAAAAACACCAATGATAGCCTATGCTGGAGAGGATGTGGGGTGAGGGGAACATTCATCCATTGTTGGTGGGAATGCAAACTTGTGCAGCCACTGTGGAAATCAGTGTGGCAGTTTCTCAGGAAACTGGGAGTCAACCTCCCTCAGGACCCAGCAATTCCACTCTTGGGAATATACCTTAGAGATTCCCTAACATACTACAAAAACATTTGTTCTACTATGTTCATAGCAGCACTATTTGTAATAGCCAGAACCTGAAAACAGCCTAGGTGCCCCTCAATAGAAGAATGGTTAAAAAAGGTGTGGAACATATACACATTAGAGTTTTACTCAGCGGTAAAAAACAATGACATCTTGAATTTTGCATGCAAATGGATGGAAATAGAAAACGCTTTACTGAGTGAGGTAGGATTTTTTTTTTTTTTATCACAGTGGACAGAGAACTACAAGTGACCACCAACAGTGTGAGAGGCAGCAAAACTGTGAGAGGTGTTGCTTCCCCCAGACCCCCGTGTTGATGGATGTACAGTGGAACTAAGGACCTCGGGGCTTGTGGAAGTTTGTGGGAGAATCTGCTGAGGCCACTGCTTCCCACAGGGCTCCTTCTCAGCAGGCTCAGAGCTCACAAGTCCTGCACCCTCCTCTAAACTGCCTGTCCAGTTTAGAATGAGGCAGGTCTCCCCCATTTACCATATTTGTGGATAAGAAGTACATTTGCAGTGTCAAAGGGGCAACACAGAAGCTCCACTGTAGCAGGCAGTGAAACTTTCATTGTTTCTAGGTTTCTAAAACTCACTCAGCAAGCGAATGACCTCACTTCCTTCCACTCCCAACAACTGTGATACAATCTCTGCCTGCTCTGCAGGACCCTCAAAGAACTCAAGGACTGAGGATGGGAACCAGGACTGATGTCACCTGGTTCCTAACTGGAGGTCCATCAGAGGTTTCCACATTTATCTAAGTGAGGCTGTTAGGTTTCCACACTGGCCACCATGACCACAAAGATGGGGCACTGGCCCTGGCCTCAAGGCTGATGTCAAAGATGTGATCCCTCATGTATACTGCTAGAACTGCATAACAGTATTTCCTGGGTCAGGGGACCCTGACCTCATCTGGTGAGGACTCTTTAGGCAGGTGCTATGGAGTCTGGGCTTGAGCTCATGCATGATATGGCTTGAGTCTTCTTAGATTAGCCCTACTGGCCAAAATTTGTAAGGAGACAAGAAATGTCCTCGGTCAGGATTGTGTTCATTTCTGTCTGTCACTGGAGGTCCCCACCAAAGCCAATTTTTGGACAGTGGAAAGCTATGAATATCTACATTGTACAATTAAATTCAGAGTTCCCAGAGAGGCGGCACTTCCCCAGCCAAAGCACAAAGGTCCGACTGATGTTTAATCTTGATGGTCAGTTTCAGTCATTGTTCAAAAGTCATGCCCTAGATGCACAACGTGCCAAGGATGTCTGCTTAGGCCCCAAGCCAGACACACAGGCAGCCGATCGAGGAGTGGTCACTCACCCAAAGCAAGTGTCTCCCTTCTTTCCTCATTCCTCACACACATCCGGGGTGTCATGGTTCATTTTCATTTTCAAATTGATGGGATTTAGAATCACCATGGAAACACATCTCTGGAGGAGACAATGAGAACATTTCCAGGTAGGTTTAACTGAGCAGGAAGACCTACCCTGAACATAGGCAGCACAATTCCATGGCTTGTGGTCCCAGGCCGAATGAAAAGGAGATTGATCTGAGCACCAGAGTTCTTCTCTCTCTGCTTCTCGGCTGTGGCTGCGGTGTGACCAGCTATTGCATACGTGCTAACTTCACCGCAGTGGGCTGTGCTGTACCCCTTCCTAAACCACAAGCCCAAACAAATCTCACTTCCTAAAATTGGTTCTAGTTAGGTGTTTGGTTAGAGCAATGATAGTGTATCTTCTTAAGAATAATCACAGAAGTCACACATGGCTTTCTGGTCACGAAGGATCCCAGTCCACTCCCTGCAAGACTGGGAAGAATCTTAACTGTCCAGTTTGTTTCCTTTCTGGACCCTGTGCACTTTTGCCCTCAGTCACGTGCAGCTTATTGGGATCTTGAATGAGTTGCAGGTGACTGGTGAAACGTTTGGGGCCCAGGATGAGCCTGTATCTCTGAACTCTGGAAAGGGAAACCATTAGATGCATTTTAGGTTCTTAGCATCCCTTATTTAAATGAGCTCACAGACTCCTGTCAGGTCCAGAGTTTTGCATGTGGCTATCAACAGATACCACATGTGATGTAGGATGTCCTTCTGGATATGTGTTGTAGCCCCATGTTGGGTGCCAGATGTAGCTAGCTGTATCTCCTTCTCACTGGTCCGCGGACTGGTTTTTCCTCCACCCGCTTGTTCCTGAAGCCACTTATTAAATAACCATTTGGAGGTTTAATATCATTTACAATTGTTTAGCTAATATGTTAGGCTTTTTACTGGCTAGCTCTAACTATTAAATTAACTTGTTTTTATTAATCTGTCTATTGTCATGAGGCTGTGGCTTACAGGGGCAGCACATTACCCTTTCAGCAGCAATATGGCATCTCCTTTGACTCCACCTAGCCTCTCTCTCTCTCTGTCTCTGTTTGGATTTCCCACTTGATTTTACTCTGTTAAGCCATTGGCCAAAACAGCTTTATTCATTAAACAATAAAAGTAACAACACATAATCAGAAGGACATCCTACATCATACACGGGCTTTGCGATGGCCCCAGTCCTGTGCATACAGGAATTTTGCTTTGGAACGGGAAGATTCAGAGAATCTCCACTCTGGTAAAAAACTGTAGAAGCAAGCATCTTTCTTCTTGTTCTCTCTGTCCTTGCTCAGGGTACTGGCTGGGGTCTCAGAGACCTTCCTCTGGGTGCTAATGTACGTCTGTGGGTGTTTGAAGTCCTGTCCCTGGGTGTGGCACCAAAAATCTGCAGTAAAGCCATCTAAGGATACACGGTCAGCCATGATTGACAGATCTGGTGGCAAGCTGGGCCATAGAGTCTTCTCATGTAAGGGCCATGGCTTAGAACACATGGTGTTGATCTGAGAGAGAGGCCCTTGCTAGTTACAGGGATTTGAATGTGAACTAAGAGCAAGGAAGCCCTGACCATGTGAAAAGGGAGCAGAGGCCTGGATGGTGTTTCTGAGAGTGGCAGCTCTCTGTGTGTGTGTGGTGGTGGTGGTGGTGGTGGGTGTAGCCACTTCTATCTGCCCCTTTATGCACCTGCTCTCTTCACAAGCGCTCCTGTGTGGGCGTGGCTTCCTCACTCCCGCCCCGTGTGGGCGTGGCTTCCTCACTCCTGCCCCTGTGTGGGTGTGACTTCTTCACATCTGCCTCCATGGGGGCAGTTCCTCTCCAGCTGAAGGAGGAAGTGCTGGACCAGACCCCAGCGTGGTGCTGCCACTCCATCTTCCAAGATGTCACCTGGAAAGCTCAGGCTCTGGGTGCTCACCTTCTCTCACTCCAGGTAAAACTGTTACTCCATTCACTTCAGATCTGTGAGTCTGGGCACTTTCATCCCCATATCCCATCCCACCTCTCCACCTTCACTTTGCCGCTTCTCATCCCTGCACACCTGGGGGGCAGGATCGGGGCCGGCTGCACACCAGCCGTCCCGACCTGAGGGCTCACCCCACTCGTGATGTGCTCTGTTACCTGCAGCTGCCTCTCATTATTTCTGTCTCATGGGCATCAACTCACAGACTCATTTGGGTCCCAAACAGTCAGGGTGTTTTAGTAGAGGGGCACATTTACTAACAAGAGATTTATGTTGTTTGCAGTGGGTTCAAGTGTCGTCCTCGCCAGGAGTAGGTTTGCGCATGGAAGACGGAGGACAGGAAGAAGGGCAGGTAAGGCCCGGACCTGTGGGGACCTTGGGGCTTATGTGGTTCCATGACACCTCTGGGAGGTGGTGAACATCGTTTATTCAGGCCTCCTGTTAACTATTTTCTCTTGGAGGTGAATTCCACCAACTCAGTTACGTGAACAGGATTTTCCACAGGGGCTTTGTGTCCCCAAAGCCATGGTGACAGGGCCTTAGCTGGGTTAGGGTGACTTTCTCATTTGAGAAACACGGGGTGAGGAAATGCTAGGGTGTCTTGCCTTCATAAATACAACACACAAACATGTTATGCTATGTACTTGGATACCCATCACGGTATAGCTGATGGAGGGGACCCCTGTTCACCTGCTCCCCTAGGTCCGAGAAGGACTCACACTTGACCCTAACAAGTAGACTAGTCTGTTCCTGCATCCCAGATCTCCCAGTTCACTACAAATCAAACAGGTCCCATGTTGATTGCAGTTAGCTGAGCCAGAGAAAGGAGCGAGTCTATTTTTATAGCTTCTCTGGAGCTCAGAATGAGGAGAGAGAGCACCATGAACTGGCCCTCTCTGCCTCCGGATACTCAGGCGCCTCAGAATGGCTGTCCTTGGATTTGAGCCCTACCTGCTCATTCTATATGGGCTTGTTCTAAGATGTGCTTCCAGCCTGGGTCTCACAACATTCCTGAGGGCAAGAAGACACAGGGAGGACTTGGTGCTTCCATGTTTGATGTGATTCTCCAAGTCCCGTGTGTGTGTGTGTGTGTGTGTGTGTGTGTGTGTGCCCTACATTTGGAATAAAACTCAGTTGACACTGGTACACTGGCCCTAAGCAGCGAGAATACTCGTGTTCCCTGGTCTCCCATTTATTAGTATTTGCACTAAAGTGTGTGCCAAGCCCAGGGAGTGCGGTGGAAGGCCTCTGGGGTTCAGAGTTAGGAGCAATGGGCTATATATGCACTCATGAAGGTGAGAAGATGCTAATTTGGGAATGTGGAAGAGAGCTTCTCCTTGATGGAGTTGAGTCCAGGAGCACTTCTCAGAAGAGGGAGCTGTGAACCCTGGCGAGTTTCTCCTCCTGTCTCACTGAAGAGAGAACATGGCGGCAGTTGTTTGAACCTGGTTGGATGGGGACAGGTTCACTCGTCAAACCACCCTCATTGGCTACACAGGATTGTGCTAATCCATACCAGGCAGAACTTCCAGTTGGTAGTGAGAATGTGAGTCAGCTCCAGAAACCAGGGTACACTGCATCTGGAGTGCCCTATACTACCAGATTCTTCTTATTTGCGAAAGTTAGGAAATACATTACTGTGTGGCAATGTCCAGTAGAATCGTGGCAGAGTAAGGACCCACAAGATGTTACCTTGATTGGACCTGTAGCTGCATGTGCTTATAGTAGGCATACTTCCCTCAAATCACCAAAAGATTCCAAGCTGTAGTATGGCAAGGCTCTTAGGAGACTAACCAATAGTCCCATGGAAGCCGAGTCATGGAGTTCCCATACGATGTCCAGGCAGTTTGGCTGACTAAAAGATCCTTTCCCTAGCAATCCTCACTGCTTATATAACCTTAGGGTGGGGTAAGTGTTGTTTACTTCCCACTCCTCCCTCCCACCTCCAGAGCAAACCATTCTATGGTGTACATGTGTGGGTGGAACAGGATCCCTGGACTGACCTGGGTGTTGGCATCTGAGTGAGCTTGCGCTGCTAGACCAGAAAAGGAAGAGTAGCTGGGACATGTTCATGCAGAGAAAGGGTGAAGCCCATCAGAGCAGCTAGACTTTGAAGGTTGTACCCATTCCTGGTTCTGGCCTATTGCCTTGGCAGCATTGCGAAGAATCTCTGGCATACATTCCTGATACCGTGAGTTTTTCCCAGGTCATCTCTGTTATAATGGACTGCAGAGTGGTTTTGTGTGTGTGTGTGAGAGAGAGAGAGAGGGAGAGAGAGAGAGAGACAGAGAGAGACAGAGAGAGACAGAGAGAGAGACACAGAGAGAGACAGAGACAGAGACAGAGAGAGAGAAGCAAAAAGAACAAGAGTCACAGTCATTTTCAAGGGCATGCTCCTACTGACCTAAGGCCCTCTAAGAGGCCTACCTCCTAATGTTTGACACCAGGTTGGATAGAACCAAATTGAGAACCAAACACAGTGCCTTGGGGGACTTCGAGATGCAAACAGTAGCAATGGATTGGTGTCAGGTTGTGCCCAAGGACCTCTGTGCCTTAGCTCCAGATGATGACAAGGTACCATGGGACTCTATTTGCTTTCTGCTGAAAGGCACCAGAAGGATGGAACTCCTGACCTTGGGTTTCAGTTTAAAAAGGAATTGGGGGTGTGGGGATGATTCATTGAAGAAAACTGCTTGTCTCACAAGCCTGACAAGTGGAGTGTGGGTCTCCAGAAGTCACATAAACAGGGATGTGGTGGTGGGCAATACCAGCGTTACTCCAGCCACATAGCAAACACAGGTACAAGACTCCTAGAAGTGCAGGCAAGCTAGCCTGGAGTGGAGAGGGCTTCAGGGGTGCTAAGTTGGAAAGCCAGAACTGACTCCCAAAAGTCAAAAGTTGTTCTCTGACCTCCACATGTGCACTGCGGCATATGTGTTCCAGCACGCACACACACGCACACGCGCGCGCGCACACACACACACACACACACACACAAAGTGGGGGGAAGAACAAGTAAGTAAATACATTAAAGGAAGCAGTCTGGACAGAGCAGGGACACAGAGGCTGTAGGCTCTCTGCTTGGGACTCAGACCCCACAGACCCCCTTCGTTTCTAGAACACTCTTTTTCAAATTCAGGCCCACATTGTAGTCACACGTGTAACAGAAGGAATGAGGTGAACCACATAAACTTCAGCTTCTAACATGTGTCGAGGTCCTGATAATGTTCAGGAACCCACTTTGGGAAGTACTATTCTATATTCTATGGAAAACTATTTTTTGTTAATTCTTTGGGAAGTATGTTTTTAACTTCAGAACCATTTGCAGTGACTGTCCATAAAACCACAGCTTTGGAAATGAGTTCATTTTTTCCCAACAGAGCCCACTCATCCAGGGATTTTAAAAATGGAGATCACAGAGGACTTGGTGGCTGAACCTGGTTTAAATAGCATCCGTAGCACAGATCCGTGGCTCCCTCCCCTTGCTCTCTGTAAGGACCATCTGGCATGGTGTGTATTTATAATCCTCATGCCAGAAGCACATTTGTGTCACGGTGTACCTCTCTGACTGCTCATTTTCTGCCTTTGAGTGCAAGAATCTCCCAAATAGATGATTCCAGAAGGATCCCTCAGCTTTTGTCGGAGGCAGCCTTTCGAGCATGTTTGGGAGCCAGGAAGTCTGGGCTCAGCAGAGTGACCCTGCACTCTTGGTGTTAGTTCGTCGTGTTTCATGAGGTCCCTCAGCACTGCAGTGTGACTGTGGTAGTATCCCTTCCTATGTAGGATCTGGAATCCACGGAGCTGATGTCTGAAAAGCATTTAGTTAGCTTCTAGCACAGAGAAAAGCTCAGTCAGCTTGGCTCAGAATCTACTTTCTTCTCTTTTTAAAGCATTTATTTATTTATTTATTTATTTATTTATTTATTTATTTATTTATTTATTTGTGTGCCAGTGCTCATATGCCATGGCCTGTGTGTGAAGGTGGAAGACAGCCTGAGGTGTCTGTCCTCACCTTCTACCTTGTTGGAGACCGGGTCTCTTAGTGTCTTTCAATGTGTATACCCAGCTAGCTGTCTCTCAAGCTTCTGGGCATTCTCTCCTCTCTACTTTCCACCTTGAGGTAGGAGATGCCCTGTCTGGGAAACCAGACTTAGCTCCTCACACTTGTACTTTACCCCCTGAGCCTTCTCCCCATCTCCCCAGTTCCTTGTTCCTACTAAGGAATCAGCATGCTGAAACAGGGCTTCCCGGTCCACCCCACCATGTTTATGTCACCTGCAGGATGCAGGGGGAACACTATCAGCTTTCAGAGTTCTGCCTAGCCTGAGCCAAGTTCCCCATCTCCTTTGTTCTACTCCCAAACCTGCTCCCCTTCTCTTGGGTTCACTCTGAAACTTTGTTTTTCCATAAACACCAACTAACAACCCTCCCACCCTGTTAAACATGACACAATGTTCTGTGTTACTTAGAATCCGGGAATACATGGTGAAAAGAATATTTGGGATTATTATAGACAAGATTTGTATCAAAATAACAGTTGAGGAACATACAGCAATACTAAAAAGTGTTCCTGTGAGTGAAATAGCACACACTTGTAAGCCCAGCACTCAGAGGGCAGAGGTAGGAGGAGTGTGAGGAGCGGAGAGCAGAGAGCAGACACACAACACGGAGCGCAGAATCGACGGCCTGAGCAGTCGCGAGACCTTGCTTAAAGAAAAAAGGAAAGATTAAAAGTCTTCTTGGAAATGTCACACTTAGATCCAGAGTACACGGAGCCACTTCTTGATTGACATCTCTGGTTGCCAGGGTCTTCTCAGGTGCCCCCATCCTTTACGGAGTTTCAGGAGCACTGGGAATGATAAAAGTGGACTCGGAACAAGCATAAATATTTGAAAGCAATAGTGATTTCCAAAAACTATCATTAGGAATGGAGAGATGACTAAGGGGTGTAAGCCTGACAATCTGAATTTTATCTCAGTGACTGCAGTAGGATGAAAGAACTGGTCTCTAAAAGCTGTCCTGTGCTATAGTGTGCATGTGCCTACACACACACACCACATCACACACACAACAACAACAATAATAATGTAGTACAAAAGGTCTCTAAAGATGATAAACAGGGAGAGGAAGGGATAGAAAGACAGAAGAAAGAAGATGGGGAGAAAAGGGAAGGGAACGAAAGGAAGGAACAAAGAGAAGAGAGATACAGAATACGAAACCAACATCAGGAATGAAGGCTGGATGCCTTCTCTATTGAACTGTGCATACTGAGGGCCTAATAGGAATGGGACAACTATGTCAGCAGACTTGATAACTTAGACCAAATTGACGATTTCCTGGAAGGCACAACAA